ACCTAAGAGCGATGGCCTCCAACCTAAGAGCGATGGCCTCCAACCTAATAGCGATGACCTCCAACCTAAGAGCGATGGCCTCCAACCGAAGAGCGATGGCCTCCAACCCAAGAGCGATGGCCTCCAACCTAAAGACCTATTTATGTTTCAAGACTCTGTAAATGTGTTTAGGAAGTCTTATAAAACATACATATTGTTTGGAGCAAGGACTCAAAACAGCCTCCTCGCTGAGGTGTCAAAGCAAGGACTCGACAAGGAAGTGTTTGGAACATTGCTTCTCAGCGCAATTGCAGCCATGGAAGTTGAAGCTTTTGAGAACCACATGGAAGTCGACAGAGCTTTGCTCTCCGCTGCCGCTGAAATTGTATAGATGGGTTTCCCGAAGTTCAGAGTGGTGTACCCAGGTTGGAGAACATCGAAGTTCCTGCAGCATACTGCATTGCAGCTGAAAGCACTGCGGGCAGCGCGGTGTTCAATCTCCTGGCCGGACACCAAGCCGAACAAACGTAGAAGATCCACAGGGGCTCTGGACGGAAAATTAACACGGGGTCCTACAGCCGTGGGCATGTTCTCCGTGTTTTTGGCTGTGGCGTAAGCACGTTGATGGTCCCTACTTGCGGAAGTCTTGCATCTTTCATGTTGCGAGCAAATGTGCGAATGCGGTCCTGATATAATCCAGTGACACCATGCGTTTGGTTGTACTCAGGTGAAGGACGACAGCATTGCTGGGCAAATAGCTGCACCCTTGGCTTATTGAACTGATAGAGACCTTTGAGGTGTGTTTCCCCAGTCTTTTCAGTTGTTTGAAGCAAGGGATTGTCAAGAAACACTAAGGTCTCTCTGGTGCGCAAGGGAAGCTTAGGCAGCTGGGGCCTCAGTTGTAGGGAACTCGAGCCACCTCATGACATCATGATGGTTCTTCTGAATGTGGCCAGTAGAGGTGTATGTCACATCCAACATAAATAGACTTTCACACGGACGCTGCTTAGTTGAAGAACAGAACCCTCACATCCATCAGCAGCACAATGACCAGAGAAGACATTTCCTAGATCGTAGAGCTTGCGATCGTGTCTTACAACAATCACCTGCTCGCAATTGAGGTATTGTTTGCACGCCCTTGAATCAGTTAGAGACGAAGCCAAGACAGCTGGGGCCGTAGACCGTGAAAGAGTGGCCAGATCCAAGCTGCCATGTAACTGGACCTCCAGACCTCCAGAGGGTATCAACTTGATGACGTGCTAGGTAGAACAGGGGTAAACAGATAACTGCCACTTCAATAGAATATTACGTATGGCAATTGACTAGTGCATCGATGTAGTGAATCTATGTGAATCCAGTGCAGATTCGCCCAGCTGGAGATGATGGGCTAAAGTTTATGTGCCCACGTGGATCCAGGTATCCGAAAATCAACGGAATAAAGCCACTTGTCGCTCTTGCCTCAGAGGACCTGGGAGCCAGAAGGTCGGCAGAACATTTCACAACCCTAAATGGACAGCAGAATGCAACGATGGTTAACGACGGTTTCAATGATTCTTGCAGCAGTCCAGTACTTAACCAGCCTCCATCTCCGACATTTTCGATCTTGTGCGGAAGTGTGCTCCAAGGATGTCATCAGCTGCCCAAAGTGGGCCTTTCCTGCAGTCCAGCAGGTCTTTGGAAGGACTGGTGTGGTGTGTCAAAGGTTGAAGCCTAGCAGATATTTTTGATTTTTCCCCAATAGCCATGCTATGGGGTCTTGCAAAACTAATAGGCGGACGGGCGCCGTCGGGTCACCGTCAGAGCTGGTGGGCGGATGGTGTCCCGGTCATGTTTTGATGGTGTCCCGATCATGTTTTGATTGTGACCCAGTCATGTTGTGATGGTGTCCCGGTCCTGTTTTGATGGTGTCCCGGTCATGTTTTGATTGTGACCCAGTCATG